CAGCACGACCACGCCCAGCACGACCACGCCCCAGCACGACCACACCCCAGCACGACCACACCCCAGCACGACCACACCCCAGCACGACCACACCCCAACACGACCACACCCCAGCACCAGCACGACCACACCCCAGCACGACCCGATCGATAAATCACATGGTGCGGACCACCCCAGCACGACCACACCCCAGCACGACCCCACCCCAGCACGACCCCACCCCAGCACGACCACCCCCAGCACGACCACACCCCAGCACGACCACACCCCAGCACGACCACACCCCAGCACGACCCCACCCCAGCACGACCCCACCCTAGCACGACCACACCCCAGCACGACACATCCAGAACGACCCACCCCAGCACGACCCCACCCAAGCACGACCCCACCCCAGCACGACCACACCCCAGCACGACCACACCCCAGCACGACGCCACCCCAGCACGACCCCACCCCAGCAAGACCACACCCCAGCACGACCACACCCCAGCACGACCTCACCACAGCACGACCCACCCCAGCACGACCACGCCCCAGCACGACCACGCCCCAGCACGACCACGCCCCAGCACGCACGCCCCAGCACGACCTCACCACAGCACGACCACACCCCAGCACGACCACGCCCCAGCACGACCACGCCCCAGCACGACCACACCCCAGCACGACCACCCCCCAGCACGACCACCCCCCCAGCACGACCACCCCCCAGCACGACCACCCCCCAGCACGACCACACCCCAGCACGACCACTCCCCAGCACGACCACACCGCCTTGGTTGAGTGGTTGCCTGTCGTCGTGGAATGTTTCGTGGGGTGTCTCGTGGAATGTTTCGCGGGGTGTCTCGTGGAATGTTTCGTGAGGTGTCTCGTGGAATGTTTCGTGAGGTGTCTCGTGGGATGTTTCGTGAAGTGTCTCGTGGGATGTTTCGTGAGGTGTTGCCCAGTTGGGTATCGTGAAAACGTGTCCATGCTCCACATGTCTATATCCCTTTCCGGGTTCGTGGGTCCATCATGTTCCCGGAAAGGGCGTGGGCCCAAGGTTCTCTTTTAGTTGGTTAACCCCCCGGCCCCCCTGCGACTTGGGCCGGCGAAATTATTTTGCGAGCGGGCACGCACGGAGTAGGGCTGGCGAAATTATTCCCGGAAAGGGCGTGGGCCCAGGGTTCTCTTTTAGTATGTAAACATGTCCCCGGTGCCCAACTTGAAGGAGGCCGGCGGATTCTTTCCCTGATAAATGTCGAGGTCGAAGGAGGCCGGCGGATTAAAATTTGAGGATGTCTCAGGCGAAACGCTTGTTTTTGAAATCCCGATCGATAAATCACAGGGTGCGGGACACCTCAGCACGACCACACCCCCAGCATGACCACACCCCAGCACGACCCACGCCCAGCACGACCACGCCCCAGCACGACCACACCCCCGCACGACCACACCCCAGCACGACCACACCCCAGCACGACCACACCCCAGCACGACCACACCCCAGCACGCACGACCACACCCCACAACCCGATCGATAAATCAGGGTGCGGGGACCACACCCCAGCACGACCACCACCCCAGCACGACCACACCCCAGCACGACCACCCCCCAGCACGACCACACCCCAGCACGACCACTCCCCAGCACGACCACACCCCAGCACGACCCCACCCCAGCACGACCCCACCCTAGCACGACCACACCCCAGCACGATCACACCCCAGAACGACCACACCCCAGCACGACCCCACCCCAGCACGACCCCACCCCAGCACGACCACACCCCAGCACGACCACACCCCAGCAGGACCCCACCCCAGCACGACCCCACCCCAGCAAGACCACACCCCAGCACGACCACACCCCAGCACGACCTCACCACAGCACGACCACACCCCAGCACGACCACGCCCCAGCACGACCACGCCCCAGCACGACCACGCCCCCAGACCCCAGCACGACCACCCCCCAGCACGACCACCCCCCCAGCACGACCACCCCCAGCACGACCACCCCCCAGCACGACCACACCCCAGCACGACCACTCCCCAGCACGACCACACCGCCTTGGTTGAGTGGTTGCCTGTCGTCGTGGAATGTTTCGTGGGGTGTCTCGTGGAATGTTTCGCGGGGTGTCTCGTGGAATGTTTCGTGAGGTGTCTCGTGGAATGTTTCGTGAGGTGTCTCGTGGGATGTTTCGTGAAGTGTCTCGTGGGATGTTTCGTGAGGTGTTGCCCAGTTGGGTATCGTGAAAACGTGTCCATGCTCCACATGTCTATATCCCTTTCCGGGTTCGTGGGTCCATCATGTTTTTGAGGATGTCTCGAGCGAAACGCTTGTTTTTCAGAATTTGTTGAGGATGTCTCGAGCGAAACGCTGGTTTTGCAGAGTTGGGGATGTCTCGAGCGAAACGCTTGGTTTCAGAATTTGTTGAGGATGTCTCGAGCGAAACGCTGGTTTTGCAGAGCCGACCGCGACACGGAAAAGCGCTCCTCGCGCAGGAATTCCGAGGATGTCTCGCGCGTGCCGCGTCCCGCACGCAGGAATTTTGATTTCTGTGGGTGTTGACAGGATTTCTCAAGCGAAACGCTTGTTTTTCATAATTTGTTGAGGATGTCTCGAGCGAAACGCTGGTTTTGCAAAATTGGGGGATGTCTCGAGCGGGGGCCTCGTGGGAGGCCAGAATTCAGAGGATGTCTCAGGCGCAATGCTTGTTTTCGTGTCCCGCTCGCAGAAATTCCGAGGATGTCTCGCGCGTGCCGCGTCCCGCGCGTAGGAACTCTGATGATTGTGATAGGATGTCTCGAGCGAAACGCTTGTCCCCAGCACGTTCAGTAGCGCGTCCCCTTGGCACGTCCCGCGTTGCGACCCCATGGCACGTCCCCTGGCACGTCGCCTGGCGCATCCCTTGGGACGTTTCGCGGCGCGTCCTCCTGGCATGTTCCCCTTGTCCATTAGCTCTGGGGCAGCTACTATGTGTTCAGGCAGCTCGAGCTTAAGATCCAGATCAGTTCGGTCAGGACTCGGATGCAAAGGAGGACTCGATCCACGACACTATAGAGCACAACCGCGGCATGGCACATCGCAATTCAGCACGGTGCAGCACAGCACAGCCCTCGGCAGGTACATCAAGATCGATAGACTCAGCATTGCAACTTGGCACGTTCCTTGGCACGTTCCGTGGGGCGTCCCTTGGCGAGTCCCCCTGGCACGTCGCGTGGCGCGTCCCCTGGCACATTCCGTGGCACATCCATTGGCACGTTCCGTAGCGCGTCCCTTTGGCACGTCCTACGGTGCGACCCCATGGCGCGTCCCCTGGCACGTCGCCTGGCGCATCCCTTGGGACGTTTCGCGGCGCGTCCTCCTGGCATGTTCCCCTGTCCATTAGCTCTGGGGCAGCTACTATGTGTTCAGGCAGCTCGAGCTTAAGATCCAGATCAGTTCGGTCAGGACTCGGATGCAAAGGAGGACTCGATCCACGACGCTATAGAGCGCAGTCGCGCCATGGCACATCGCAATTCAGCACGGCGCAGCACAGCACAGCCCTTGGCAGGGTACATCAAGATCGATACACTCAGCATTGAATTTGCCCGTCACCCAATCAGGTGTCTTTGAAAACGCTGCCATGTGTTACAGTTCTATATTCCTTTCTGGGTTCGTGGGTCGATCATGTTGTAGGTGGGGTCTTCGATCCCCTCCAACTAATTTGCCTGGGGGGGGGGGCTCGACCATCCTCAACTATTTTCCCCTAGGGGGGGGGAATTCGGAACGCCCCCTTGCCCCACCTTGTTTTGGAGGGGTGGGAGGTTGAACACCCCCCCCTGCCAGCACCGACAGAAAGCGCTATTTCAAAAAATCACAATCGAAGGTGCGCAGCGAAAAAGCTGCAATGCCACAGAAATTGTGTTTCTGTTCATGGTCGTCGCTGGCTTTACGCACCGAGCCGTCCCTGAACCTCCTCAATCCTCTCCCGACTCATACGAAAAGCCCAAAATCCTAAGCTCACGCTGAAAACAATCATCCCAAACAAAGGTGCGCAATGAAAAAACTGCAATGCTACAAAAACGGTGTTTCTGATCATGGTCGTCGTTGGATCTAGGTACCAATCCCTCCTTGAACCTCTTCAATCCCCTCCTGACTCTCAAGCGGCGCCCCGATGCCTAAGCTCAAGCGCAAATAAAGATGCTGAAACGAAGAACAACATTGCAACGCAAGCATACAAACATGCAATAACACATGTGTTTCTGGTCAAGGCCATCTTTGGTTTTGGGGCCCCATATCCTCCCTGAACCTCCTAAAGCCTCTCCTGGTTCACACGCGAATCCTAGAATCCTAAGCTCAAGTTCGAACAAGGAGCCCAACGCACTGCGTGTGTTCAAGGCCGAACCTGCAGCTGAATATTATCGTGTGTCGGAAACTTGGTGCCCCGTTGCGCAGGGCAAAAAACTTGATCAACGTTGCGTTGATCCTCGAGTCTCGATCCTCGATCCCCCTCCTCCCCACCCCCGCGCGCAGCCGCTGCCGCGCCTCCGCAAGGGCTTCCGCTCGGAAGCCGGCGCCAGCGCGGCGCCTTTCGCGTCCGCCTGCAATTCCATATTTTCAACATTTGCTCTCTCTTTCTGTCTCTCCTTCTCTCTCAATTTCTTTCTCGAATTATTTCTGTCTCGCTTTCCCTTCTCCCTCTCTCTCTCTCTTTCTAGATCTCTCTCTCTCTCTCACTCTCTCTCACCTTCTCTCTCTCTCTCTCTATTTCCCGGAAAGGGCTCGAGCCCAGGGTTCTCTTTTAGAGGTTTACCCCCGGATCTGACGGCTGATGGGCCGGCGAAATTATTCTGCGATAAATTACGTGCGGGAGTAGGGCCGGCGGAATTATTTTTGAGGATGTCCCTAGCGAAACGCTTGTTTTTCAGACTTTGTTGAGGATGTCTCGAGCGAAACGTTGGTTTTGCAGAGTTGGGGATGTCTCGAGCGAAACGCTTGTTTTCATAATTTTTGGAGGATGTCTCGAGCGAAACGCTGGTTTTGGAAAATTGGGGGAAGTCTCGAGCGGGGGCCTCGTGGGGGGCTAGAATTCAGAGGATGTCTCAGGCGAAATGCTTGTTTTCACGTCCCGCTCGCAAGAATTCCGAGGGTGTCTCGCGCGTGCCGCGTCCCGCGCGCAGGAATTCTGAGGATTTTGACAGGATGTCTCGAACGAAACGCTTGTCCCCAGCACGTTCCGTAGCGCGTCCCCTTGGCACCTCCCGCGGTGCGTCCCCATGGCACGTCCCTTGGCACGTCGCTTGGCGCGTCCCTTGAGACGTTCCGCGTCGCGTCCTCCTGGCATGTCCCCCTGTCAATTAGCTCTGGGACAGCTACTATGTGTTCAGGCAGCTCGAGCTTAAGATCCAGATCAGTTCGGTCAGGTCTCGGATGCAAAGGATGACTCGATCCACGAGGCTATAGAGCACCATCGCGGCATGGCACATCGCAATTCAGCACGGCGCAGCACAGCACAGATTTCTGCACGGTACATCAAGATTGATACACTCAGCATTGCAACTTGGCACGTTCCTTGGCACGTTCCGTGGGGCGTCCCTTGGCGAATCCACCTGGCACGTCGCGTGGCGCGTCCCCTGGCACATCCCGTGGCACATCCATTGGCACGTTCCGTAGCGCGTCCCCTTGGCACGTCCCGCGGTGCGACCCCATGGCACGTCCCTTGGCACGTCGCCTGGCGCGTCCCTTGGGACGTTTCGCGGCGCGTCCTTCTGGCATGCCCCCCTGTCAATTAGCTCTGGGACAGCTACTATGTGTTCAGGCAGCTCGAGCTTAAGATCCAGATCAGTTCGGTCAGGACTCGGATGCAAAGGAGGACTCGATCCACGACGCCATAGAGCACAACCGCGGCATGGCACATCGCAATTCAGCACGGTGCAGCACAACACAACCCTCGGCACGGTACATCAAGATCGATACACTCAGCATTGCATTTGCCCAATCGTGTGTCTTGAACAACGCTGCCATGCGTTACATTTCTATATTCCTTTCCGGGTTCGTGGGTCGATCATTTCAGAATGGCCAGGAACCGCTGTTGGTCTTCTGGAGGCCTCCTAGATGGGGTCGGAGGATCGCGACGCGTCGCCGATGCATGGGCGACGTCGGCGATGCATCGCCGACGTCGGCGTGAAGAAACTCGAGCTCTACATCAAGCCGCATCGCCGATGCATGGGTGATGCGGCGCGATCCTCCGACCCCATCTACTCGGACCCCATCTGGGAGGCCTGGAGACACCGACAGCGAATCCTGTTCAAAATGGGCAGGAACTTCTGTTGGTCTTCTTCATATCCCCATTCCGATCTTTCCGATCCTTTTTCTTCTGGGGGAACTTAACGGTACCGATACCGTTACTCCCTGGACCTCTCCCGGGGTGCGCTCTGACAAGGGTTTCGAGGCGAATCGGGCGGTGGCGACGAGGGCCTCCCAGGAGGCCCAAAAGAAGGGAAAGCGAGGGAAAGGTAGCAGTATTGGTACATCTTCTTCCTCTGAGCGTGGTCATTTTTCTCCCTCTTGCCTTTGTCAGCATTTTTTTTTCCCGTAGTGCGGTCAGCTCTGGGATGGGGGAGGCCCGGGCTCGCTCACCGCGGCTGCGAGGATCTCTCGCAGCTGCGCGCGCACCTCCTCGATGCGGGCCTCCGGCGGCAGCGGGATGCCCAGCGAGGATCTGGTTGACCCACAAGGGGGTCCAGCTGAAAGGGTGTGGTGCAGCAGATTTGGGGCAACTGTACTGCAACTGCACTGCGCCAGAGAAATGCATGGCATTGTGCTGCAACTCGTGTGTTGCACGCGGAACTCCAGCAATGCGGCCCAGAATGTATTGCACGCCCCAGATCTGTTGCAACCCCACAAGTCCATTGCGCCAGATCTCTTGCACCGCCCCCTTGCAGCTGGACCCCCATCTGCGTCAACCAGAGAGGAGAGCTGCGGCCCGAATTTGTTGTTCAGCAGGATGAGCTCAAACTCGACGCGCTCCGCGAAGTACCAGAAGTTCATGTCCTCCCCGCCGTTCTTCAGGTGCTGCGGGATGTTGAAGGCGGCTAGCTCTAGGCCCGAGCTCTCCCAGGGCCTCGGCGTGCGGGACGGCAGCCGCGGATGGCCGCTGGGTGCCGCCACGCAGAGCAACGTGACCGCCAGACCTCGGCTACGCGTGAGAGTGACCCTGGGTAAGAGTGACCTTTGGTGCGCGGCTTTTTGGGGGCCGCGGGGGACCAAATACAAGCGCGCAAGACGCCACTGCAGCCTCCCGTTCGGCGATCAGGGACCCCAATGGGCCCGCACCAAAGGTCACTCCGGCGAAAGGTCACTCTTACGTGTAGTCGAAGACCCTTGTGCGCGAACGTGCTCTCGAACTGCAACGCCGACCTGGGCAAGTGGAACTCGCTCGTTAGCAAGATGGCCACCTCGGCCTGCAAGCCGCGCAAGATCGGCGCCGTGAACAAGGCGTTCTCGATCGTGCTCTTGGCCTCGGGCTCCTCCAGAACCTCTGGCGACGCGTCGGCGCCTGCCCGCTCATCCAACAACCGATGCATCATGGCCGCCTCTGTCTCGCCGACCCCCGCCGGGTCACCCCCAGTGACGATGATCGGTGCCAAGGTGCGGCGCTGCAGGTCGAGCGCAAGATCCAGCCTGTTCAACAGCGTCTCCGACGCGGAGCCGTCTGGCTGCAAATTCTGGCCGAGAGTGATGATAGTCGGCGGCGCGCCCTGGGGGGAGGTGAGAAGGGGCGGGCCTTCTTGGAAGGCTCGGACGTCCCCTGGCCTTCTGAACAATTTTCGAAGCCTTCCCTGAAAACACGGGAAACCTCTCAGAAGGCCGGAGGGGCTTCTGAGAAGCCCCACCGCGTTCTGAGAGGATCTTCTCCTTCTCACTTCCCCCCCTCGCTCGCCGCCGAGATAGGTGCTCTTCGCGATCCCACATGAGCACACAATTCCTCAACAGACGTGAAGAAGACGCACGATACCTCCTTGCTTCCATCGGCCTCCGGCCCGCTCATTGGTGGATCCGCTGGGGAAAACCAGGCCTAGCAAGCTTACTGGACACGAGAGCTGCTTGAACCAAAATGGGCGACGAAACCAAAGTGTCTTAGGCGAGATGGCATAGCGACCTTACGCCGAACCTTACGTGGACAGCCAGCGCGGCACGCTAGACTGGAGACGAGGGCGCCTACGCGCGACCTGGCGCGGGCAACTTGCGCTCGAATGTCGGCGCAAACGAACTTTCGTCGCTCAAAGGACTACGGATGCTTTCCGTGTTCGGATGATTTTGAACTTTTCGCCGTTTCGCTCTCGATGCGTCTCTGGAACTTCAAGATGGCCCCCAAACCGTCCAGGAGAGCCGGAAGAGGAGCCCATTTGGGGCCCAAACACGCCTCATGCGGCCGCCATGAACACTCCAAGAGGGCCCAAGGGGGCAACGTTTCTTGCTTCGTCAAGGCGACGCTGCTTGACGTCCTTTGGCAACTGGAGCTCCTCGAAGATCCATTCGTCGAATGGCTTGGTGACCTCTGGGATGAATCGCATGGTGCGTATCGGCGTCATTACGTGCAGCGTTGTGCTGAGGAAGGTAGGGAGGGGGAGTAGAAGGGGGAGGAGACAGAGAAGAGAAGGAGTATACATAAAAGAAAAAGTAACGAAGAGAAGGACGATTTGGGCACCAAGTGCCATCGGAGGACAAGAAGCTTCCGTGGGACACCTGCTGACAGGCCTGCTTCTTATTTGAGCTGCCTACTGTATACCACTGTGGCGCCCCCGCACGATCGGATACACATCATTTCCTTAATGGAATTGTCCCCCCCATGGAACGATCAAATGGGGTACTTGTCCTCCCCGAGCATGCGAAGCGTCTGCCTGAACATGCGGGCGTGCCCGCAACACAAAAGAACACGTGGATGGCCTCCACCAAAGATATTCCGCAACTCCAGAACCGTTCGCGATGTTCTTAGATTCATATTTTCATTCTCGAGCTGTTTTGCCGTTATAGGTTCTATACCTAGATTTGGCAAACCTTTTTCGCATCCGAAACGGCAGACTTTTGTGTTCCGTTCTCGAATGCATAGTTTTGCATTGATCGAACGCACTCGGTGATTATACACTTTCGTTGTGCGTTCTAGAATTCGTTCGCCGTTCTAGAACTGATGGCGCCACTTGCGCTTCCCGAGCCTCTCTGAGTGCGATAGTAGGTGCCTCGAGCGGAGCTTGGAATGGGAATGGCCCTTCGTGCAATCGGGCGCTGAATTTGCTCAGAACTTCTCGGTTGCCCCGCCGCTGCAACATGCGCGCAGATGTCTTGCGGAAGAAATTGACAGGCGGCAGTGTTTCGGGGCGAACGAGACTCTAGAATGCCCTCTTTCGCCCGTCGGCCCAAGAGGGCTCCGAAGGCCCCTACAGGGCTCTCGGGGTCCCAAAGAGTCCCAAGAGAGCCCCACAGGCTGCCAAAAACGCCCACACGAAGCCCCAAGACAGCACCAAGCTTCGAATGTCTTTATTGCTGACTCCTGGTTTCTTCGCGACTGTCCGCAGCCACGAAAGTCTCAGGATTCAGCCATGACTGCCTTCGCGACGCCCCTACGAGAGGTACGTCAACCTACCAGAGGATATCAGAACACTGCACGTTCAAACGCTTTCTTGGGCAACGTAAATCACATTATAATTGTTGGCTGGTGTGGATACGCGAGCCGTCGAGACTTGCGGTTTGGCAGGGCGCGGCCGGACTGGCTAAACCTATGGCGCAACCTGTGGAGTGCAGACTGGAAACTTCGGAATTTAAACGTAAGGGGGGAATCTTGAATTGGGAGAGCGCCGGGTGTCTGGCGCAATACCAAGATAGATGACGCAGCCAATGGCGCAACCTATGGACTGTAGACAGAGTATGGTAGTCGCGATTTGGTAGTGTGCAGAATTTCTGGCGAGTCAAATGGAGCAGCGTATGAAAGATCGACCAGGTGTTTGGGGCTGTCTTGCGAAACCTGCGGCGCAACCTGTGGACGGTAGACAGAATATGCGAACTGAGACTTGGAAGTGTGCGGGGTGTCTGGCGCAGCCCATGGCACGACGTATGGAGGGTAGACAAGGTGGGGGCATCGTGATTTGGTAGAGCGTGGGCTGTTTTGGCGAAATCTAAATGGCGCAAGTTGTGGAAGGCAGACAGGGGGGGTGAAATGGCGATTTCGGAGTGCGCGGGGTGTCTGGCGCAGCCTATGGACAGAGTGTGGACACCGCGACTTATTTTGCGCAGTATGCAGCGCAACCTATGGCGCATGCTGTTTACGGTCTCTAGGCGAAATGAGGCTCGAAATGATGAGGCGGATGGGTCGGGCCGAGCATAATGAGGCTTGCATAGGCACGAATATTCGAAGGACAACTGAGGAGGACGATGGAATTCCTAGACCCTTCGGAAACCATCTGGAGGATTGTCGATCGGCGCTCCTCATCGACGCTGATGGAGAACGCATGCAAAGCCTCATTGATGATGCACTTGGTCTCGGCCGTCCGGAACTTCCCCGACGTCAAGACGATCACGGCGTTGCCCTCATCCGCCTTCTCCTCGACCTTCGGCTCCTCAGAGGCAGCAGGGGCGTATGCTTCGGTCGGGCAAGTCCTCCTATAGGCGGCTTTTGGAATAACAAAATCAAGCATAGCCAACAACTATTCAAAAACAGTCAGAAACTAGTCGAAACATCGTCCCCAGACTATTTTCTGACTATTTTCGAATATTCCTCCTGTAGAGGGACGTACCCGACTTAAGCGGATGCTTGGAGAACAAGCCCGCGTCGATCAAACCTTTTCGGAACACGCGGGAACAGGGTGGGGTCCTTCCGTCAAGCACGTAAGGCAAACTGAAGACGTCCTGGCACTCCGGGCGGAACAACTCTTCCTCGCAGGCTGGTGCCGGTCTGAGCTCTCCGCTCCCGAAACTCTCGCGCCAGATCCGTTCAAAGGCTTGCCAGCTCGCAAGATCCGCCTACGATCTCCCGAGGGTAACATTAAGTCGGGCATGCCCCCCAACAGGCAGATTTTCGACGAAAAATTTAAAACATACTCGAAGAATGTGCAACATGACAAAATTAGCCTAGCGAAGGACCCAACCATATGCAGCTGTGAGTACCGCAATAGTGAACATCTCCTTCGGCGCGGCGCCGCCATGCCAACGCAGCCACTGGGAGCTTCGGTGGAGCTCCCTATGGGGCCACGAAGCGTGTAAGGGGTGTGCCGAAATTGGTGCGGCGCCGCCATGCGAACGCAACCACTGGGGCCTTCGGTGGAGCTCCCTATGGGGCCACGAAACGTGTGAGGGGTGTGCCGAAATGGGTGCGGCGCCGCCATGCCAACGCAACCACTGGGGCCTTCGGTGGAGCTCCCTGTGGGGCCACGAAGCGTGAAAGGGGTGTGCCAAATTGGGTGCGGCGCCGCCATGCCAACGCAGCCACTGGGGCCTTCGGTGGAGCTCCCTATGGGGCCACGAAAAGTGCGAGGGGTGTGCCGAATTGGGCGCGGCGCCGCCATGCGAACGCAGCCACTGGGGCCTTTGGTGGAGCTCCCTGTGAGGCCACGAAACGTGTGAGGGGTGTGCCAGAATGGGGGGTGGAACCGCATGCGGGCGCAGCCACTGGGGCCTTCGGTGGAGCTCCCTATGGGGCCACGAAACGTGTGAGGGGTGTGCCAGAATGGGTGGTGGAACCGCATGCGGGCGCAGCCACTGGGGCCTTCGGTGGAGCTCCCTATGGGGCCACGAAACGTGTGAGGGGTGTGCCAGAATGGGGGTGGAACCGCATGCGGGCGCAGCCACTGGGGCCTTCGGTGGAGCTCCCTATGGGGCCACGAAACGTGTGAGGGGTGTGCCAGTGGGGTGGAACCGCATGCGGGCGCAGCCACTGGGGCCTTCGGTGGAGCTCCCTATGGGGCCACGAAACGTGTGAGGGGTGTGCCAGAATGGGGGGTGGAACCGCATGCGGGCGCAGCCACTGGGGCCTTCGGTGGAGCTCCCTATGGGGCGAAACTGTGCCCCGCATGCGGCAGCCACTGGGGCCTTCGGTGGAGCTCCCTATGGGGCCACGAAACGTGTGAGGGGTGTGCCGAAAATTGGTGTGGACGCATGCGGAACGCAGCACTGGGGCCTTCGGTTGAGCTCCCTATGGAACCACGAAAACGTGTGTGAGGGGTGTGCCGAAATGAGGGGTGGAACTGCATGCGAGCGCAGCCACTGGGGCCTTCGGTGGAGCTCCCTATGGGGCCACGAAGCGTGTAAGGGGTGTGCAGAGCGCAGCCACTGGGGCCTTCGGTGGAGCTCCCTATGGGGCCACGAAGCGTGTGAGGGGTGTGCCAGAATGGGGGTGGAACCGCATGCGGGCGCAGCCACTGGGGCCTTCGGTGGAGCTCCCTATGGGGCCACGAAAGCGTGTGAGGGGTGTGCCAGAATGGGGGGTGGAACCGCATGCGAACGCAGCCACTGGGGCCTTCGGTGGAGCTCCCTATGGGGCCACGAACGTGCGAGGGGTGTGCCGAAATTGGGGGAGGAACCGCATGCGAACGCAGCCACTGGGGCCTTCGGTGGAGCTCCCTATGGGGCCACGAAGCGTGTGAGGGGTGTGCCGAAATGGAGGGCGGAACCGCATGCGAGCGCAGCCACTGGGGCCTTCGGTGGAGCTCCCTATGGGGCCACGAAACGTGTGAGGGGTGTGCCAAAATGGGGGGTGGAACCGTATGCGAACGCAGCCACTGGGGCCTTCGGTGGAGCTCCTGATGGGGCCACGAAACGTGTGAGGGGTGTGCCAGAATGGGTGTGGGAGGGGAGGGAGGGGGCAGCGGGAGGAAGGAGACGCGGGGCACCGGCTCTTCAAAACGAGGACCCAACAACACAAGTTGGTTGGGAAAAACAGTCAACGAATCGTCTCCAAACTATTTTTCCCGGAAAGGGCTCGAGCCCAGGGTTCTCTTTTAGAGGTTTACCCCCGGATCTGACGGCTGATGGGCCGGCGAAATTATTCTGCGATAAATTACGTGCGGGAGTAGGGCCGGCGGAATTATTTTTGAGGATGTCCCTAGCGAAACGCTTGTTTTTCCCGGAAAGGGCGTGGGCCCAGGGTTCTCTTTTAGTTGGTTAACCCCCCGGCCCCCCTGCGACTTGGGCCGGCGAAATTATTTTGCGAGCGGGCACGCACGGAGTAGGGCCAGCGAAATTATTCCCGGAAAGGGCGCGGGCCCAGGGTTCTCTTTTAGCCGTTTACCCCCGGATCTGACGGGTCAAGCGCCGGCGAAATTATTTGCGATAAATAACGAGGTAAAGTGCTGATTTTTTTAGAAAAAGTGCGTTTTGTGCGTGCCCGCTCGAGGAAAGTTCGCCCCCATCTCGGATCCTCGATAAATAACGGGGTCCGCAGACCCCCGCTTTCCCTCGTAAAAAAGAGGGTGCGGAGCGTTTTTCGCAGAATCCTCGAAAAATAACGGGGTCTGGAGCCCCGACCGCGACTCGGAAAAGCGCCCCGCGCGCAGGAATTCCGAGGATGTCTCGCGCGTGCCGCGTCCCGCGCGCAGGAATTTCGAGGATGTCTCGACTAATTCGCTTGTTTTGTCAGGATTTCTTAGAACTTTGGCAGGATGTCTCGAGCGAAACGCTTATTTTACATAGTTTGTGGAGGATGTCTCGAGCGAAACGCTGGTTTTCGCAAAATTTGGAGATGTCTCGAGCGGGGGGCCAGAATTCAGAGGATGTCTCAGGCGAAATGCTTGTTTTCGTGTCCCGCTCGCGGGAATTCCAAGGATGTCTCGCGCGGGCCGCGTCCCGCGCGCAGGAATTTCGAGGATGTCTCGACTAATTCGTTGTGTTTTGTCAGGATTTCTTAGAATTTTGACCGGATGTCTCGAGCGAAACGCTTGTTTTTCATAATTTGTTGAGGATGTCTCGAGCGAAACGCTGGTTTCTGCAAACTTGGGGATGTCTCGAGCGGGGGCCTCGTGGGGGGCCAGAATTCAGAGGATGTCTCAGGCGAAATGCTTGTTTTCACGTCCCGCTCGCAGGAAGTCGGAAGATGTCTCGCGCGTGCCACGTCCCGCGCGCAGGAATTTTGAGGATGTCCCGTAGCGCGTCCCCTTGGCACGGCCTACGGTGCGACCCCATGGCACGTCCCTTGGCACGTCGCCTGGCGCGTCCCTGGGGACGTTTCGCGGCGCGTCCTCCTGGCATGTCCCCCTGACAATTAGCTCTGGGGCAGCTACTATGTGTTCAGGAAGCTCGAGCTTCAGATCCAGATCAGTTCGGTCAGGACTTGGATGCAAAGGAAGACTCGCGCGCAGGAATTCCGAGGATGTCTCGCGCGTGCCGCGTCCAGCGCGCAGGAATTACGAGGATGTCTCGACTAATTCGCTAGGTTTTGCAGGATTTTCCGTAGGAGGGCCAAGGAGAGGCCCCGAAGGCTCTGGGAGCGGCGACGACGACGACGACGACGACGACTACGACGACGTCTCTTGGGGTTCTCTTGGACGGTTTGTAGAGTCCACGCTTACATGATCGACGGGTCGAGGACAGCGCGACGACGACGACGTCGCGGTGGCGGCGGCGTCCACCACGACGACAAAGTCTCATCTTAGAGCCTTGCGTGGGGGGGTCTCTTGGGGTTCTCTTGGAGGGTCTCTGGAGGGTCTGTAGAGCCCACGCATACACGATCGAGGGATCGAGGACAGCGCGACGACGACGACGACGTCGCGGTGGCGGCGGCGGCGACGACGACGACGACAAAGTCTCATCTTAGAGCCTTGCGTGGGGGGGTCTCTTGGGGTTCTCTTGGAGGGTCTCTTGACGGTTTGTAGAGCCCACGCTTACACGATCGAGGGATCGAGGACAGCGCGACGATGACGACCACGACGCGGTGGCGGCGGCGGCGACGACGACGACAAAGTCTCATCTTAGAGCCTCTCGTGGGGGGGTCTCCGGGGGTTCTCTGGGAGGGTCTCTTGGGGGTCTGCAGTGCCCACGCTTACACGATCGAGGGCTCGAGGACAGCGCGACGACGACGACGACGTCGCGGTGGCGGCGGCGGCGGCGATGACGACGACAAAGTCTCATCTT